TTATTATTATTATTATTATTATTATTATTATTATCATTATTATTATTATTATTATTATTATTGTTATCGTCATCACTGTTATTATTTTACTCTTTTTTTTGCTACTACAAATGCGAAGAGAGAGAGAGAGAAACAGTAATTATCATTATTGTTATCTTCGTTGTTATTTTTTTAGCTGTATGACTTTATGGACCGAAACGTCTTATCTCACCCTTACCTTCTTTTCTCATGTTCTTTCATGCTGTAATCTGTCGCACCTTCGCCATTTAGGCTTCCTGGGTCAACCTGATTGCTACAATCAATTTATCATTGCGAACTAGCTCAGTTGAATTTTGCAAAAATATTTCAGGATCCAGTACCATTTGTTTTTGCTGCTCCTCTTCACTCCAATATTCTGGAATGGCATTATGTGATTAAAGGTGCACCACAAACACCGTATGAGGGTACGTATTTTTGTTTTTTTTTTTTTTAATTTTTTTCTTCTAACAGTGTGGTTTTTCAGCAAGCTATAAGTGCATTGTTTCTTTAAAAAAAACTGTTATTAGCGCAAAAATCAAATTTTTTTATTGCTTTGCAGCACTGGAATGCGAATTTGACAGCAGTTTTCTTTGTTTTTAGGCGGTTTTTATCATGGTAAACTTGTCTTCCCACCCGATTTTCCGTTTAAACCGCCGGCAATTTATATGCTCACTCCATCGGGGCGTTTTCAAACTAACACACGTTTATGCCTTTCAATCTCCGATTTTCATCCGGATACATGGAATCCTGCTTGGACGGTTTGTTTTTTTTTTTTTTTTTTGAATTTTTGTATTTTTGACAAAAAAAAAGCGCAAAAACACATATATATTGGAAAGATGTCTGTGTGCCTGTCCTTATATTTCGGTTTTCAGACGTCAGAAAGTTATGATGTTGAAGTTTTGACAACTCAGCCCACTTTTGCGCATGCGTCCCCTGATACAGAATGAACGTCCTTCACTTCCTCATATTTCTACGTATGGACAAATAAAAAATATTTGGGGAAAGGGGGGGGGGGAGTAGGGTTTCGGGAACTAGTTAGGCTTGGAATTTCATGAAGAGGTTCTATTAATATTTCCAGCTTAAAATTCAGCTCTGATTTATGCTTACGTCTCACGTACCAATGAAATAATGGAATAGAAGGACTGGTCTTAAGTTTCATTTGCCGGAGGACATTTTACGATGTAGTTAGTCTGTATTTCATCCCTTAGCTGTAAACACACAGTAAACACAAACTATGCATGCGGGTAGGAGCAGGAATCATCCGTACATTCTTTTACTCGTCATGTTCTGAACAGCCTTGTGGCTAATTTGCAAGACAGATATGCGGAAAAAAGAGAAGTCAGAGAGAGAGAGCAAGCAGTATCTTACCACAGTACTTCTCCTTGTAAGATATAAAACATGGAAGGTATTTTGACTTTTTTCCACTTGTTTTTCTATCCACTGGAATTTTGCTTCAGCTGTTTTTGAATCATAACGATAATTGTAGATTTCTTTTTTTTTTTGTTTGGTTATGGCTATTCCCGTTAAAAAGACAAATACTTTGTCCTGTGAATAGATTTTTTGGCATTTCAGGTTTCAACGATCATGACGGGTTTGCTTTCGTTTATGAATGATACAGCACCAACATTAGGCAGTATTACGTCGAGTGATGCGGAGAAGCGTATTTTTGCTAGGAAATCCAGAGAATACAATCTGAAGGTGAGTTCTTCTGTTCGGGAATTATCAAGTAATTGCAAGTTCTGATCAGCGGGTAAGAGCAGCCCAATCCGTTTTTGAAATCCTTTCAGGGAGGACCCCAGTTAATTCTGATTTGACCTATGCATGCCATGGTTTTCACGTAATTTTTCGCATTTTCTGTTACCTGTAAGATTTAATTTAAAATTCTTTCCTCCGGGAACTCTCTGTATTTCATTAGAACATTATATTCTGTTTATTTTGTTTTTTCCAGGATCGAGTTTTCTGCGAATTATTCGGTGATTTGGCCAAAGAAATTCGTGAGGAATTAACGGCGGAGCGAAATAGGTTGTCGGAAGATAACGTGGTCGATGAATCGTCGTCGTCGCGAAGGTTGTTACTTAGTTAATGTTAGATGATCGTCACCAAATGATATTTAAATACTAAAAATTTCAAGAATTCCAGTGGATCTAAGAGATTTGCACTACTTCCTATACGATAGACGAAACCGTGCTAGGCTATTCAGTTTTGAGTCGCATATCAATTGGCAGCCGGTGCTTTTTCGATATAAATGTAGTATTCCTTCTGAAGCCGCTTAAGAGGCCCCTTGTTTTGGCATGAGTACCACTCGCGGATAGGCGACGTCCAGTGGTTGTCGTTAAGGCGAGCAACATGCCCTGTCCATCGGATTTTACTTTCTTACGGTCTACATACCGATCATTTGACGCAGACACCTCGGACATTCTTTTTTTTTTTCATAGCTTTCTGTGTCACAATCCAGCGTTTTCTCATCTGCATCGAGTAACTCCTGCGATTTTGCCTCAGGGCACCCATCGTTCGATTCTTAGGAGGTATCGTGTAATATATCAAATAATGATTAATGGTTTTTGCTAAAAATAGACTAAAGACCAACTGCGTTATTATAACGCAGTACTCCTGTCTACCCTCATTGAACTTTCGATCTTTGTCCCCGGGGTATAAAAGCAGTCCTCCCCATCGCCGGGATCTCCATTACCGATCTCCACTGCGACTTACTGCTATATACTAATACTCCTATTCTGAGGAGCTTCGGCTCCCCAGAGCCTCACTTACTTTTTATACCTGATCCTTTACTTTATTATGTATAATAAACATGTATATAGGGCGCGACGTGTGACACACACATACACACACACCATACAAATGAGACACACACTAGTCCAGTAAAACAACTATTAT